TTCTTAAACCAAATGATTAAACCTTCCTGAAATTTTAGCATTTTGTTTTATGTGTATCAAGAATTACCTTATACTTGAATGACTGAATCACTATGATTTTTTATCAAGAGCATTATCACGTTATAATTACAAAATTACAGATATGTAGATGGTAATCCGAAATTACCAGGCAGAATATGTGCAGCACAGTTATGTGGCTTATGTAATGATCATGGTGATTGCCTTTATAACCAATCGACGCAAAACGTGACTTGCGTGTGTCATGATGGCTACACAGGAGAGTTCTGTGAAATTCCGCCATCTAAAACACTGCTCATACTATTTCTTATTTTAGCAGCGTTGTTATTACTTTTGTCTCTTTGCTGCTGCATGTATTTCTGCTCTAAACTCAGGTGAATATAATGATTTGATTGAATGATAATCTCGCGAAAATGATAATACGAAAAAAAATTAGAAAAATTTTCCTTTCAAATTCAAATTTTATCAACATTGATTAAGTGTCTAAATTTTACAAAATTTTAGTAGGTCTCAAGCCTCATCATTTCACTAATTATCATATGCTCATAAAAGTCTCTAAAAGTTTTCACAATGTCAGGTGTTTCCGTCGACGAAGTCCAGAAACAAGTATCGGAAGTGGACAGGAAATTTTAGGCTCCGATTATTATTCCATACCACGTGCAAAATTAAAGAGACGTGATGTAAATTTTGATTTTTCAAATGGATATAATGTTGAAAGCAATCATTTATCTTCATTATTATCATAATTTTATCAATCTGCCATTTAATAATGCTGCAACCAATATTGTTTCTGTTACGATTCAGACAAACTATTCTAAACAAATGAAGATAAAGAGTTTTTTTTTTAACTTACTGAATGAATTAAATTTTCTTTTAGATTGATGAAATGACGCCTGGGTCAGGACACGGAGATGCTGGTCAACTGCAACGTTATCTGGACGAAGGGCGATCTATTTCAGGTGATTCAACAGGAAGTTCATCTGTTGAATTTGAACGACGTGTTATTACTGATATTACAACTCATGAAATCAAGACTACTACTTATCATGATCCAGTGACTGGCAAGGCTATTTACGAAGTGACCGCTACTTCAAGCAGTAACGTAGATGGTGGTGATGCTCAAGTAATAAATTTATTTCCTGTAACATTTTTCAAACTATATCAGCTAAGTTTTGTTTGGCATTTATCTTATTTTCTTTGATTGAATCAATATTATAACTAGGTCACAAATCGAATCTTTGCTTTCAGTCAGTAATTTTCATAAATGAGCTTCTTAAACACTTTAAGTACATCCAAACACCAATCCAAATCGAAGATGAGCAGCATGCTGGCGAGGAATCGTATGCTCGATCAGATTCTGCAATGGAGCACCTTTATTCCAGAAGTAGAACAGTATTACCTGCTATAGAAGCAAGTGAACAAAGTATTACGCGTGATGGAGTAACACGTGACGAAGAATCTCGAGAATATTCCACTGCTCGCAATCAACGTCAAGTAATAAATACCAATTTACACCTAGCCAAATCAAACTTTAGTGATTAAAGTGGTAATGTAAGATTATTCACTTCAAATATAAATGCTTTAGTCATTTATCAGTGATAATGCTCCGTACAACTCGTATTAATAAGCAGAATTATTCCTCTTGAAATACGCTTGAATAATTTTTTTATAATTATTAATCCGAAATGATTTCAAAAAATTATTGAAGACCAAAAGAAACAAGCGCCTTTACTTTACCAGCTCACACATGTGGAATATCTGCTTATTATAAAGCAAAATTACGTCGTTCAATTATAGATAATTTTGTAGATTAATAATATAGGTAAATTCTTTACCCAACAACACACTACTTGTTTATTATTCTTTAGTTTTCAATGGCTCAATGTATTTATGATAAAATATAGTAAGCTTAAAGAATGATAACTTTTGATATATTATCAACCCCTTCTTATTTCTTAGGTAGAGAATTACTCTGAAAACGAAGCATATCGTCAAGAAGAAGATATTGGTGATGCCACTTTTGATCGATCTACCAAGGTAAAACTTTTATAATGGATTGGAAGATTGTGAGAATACGTATAGTAGATGACAAACTATAAAACTATAAAAATACGATTCTTGAAGAAATATCGTTAGTTCACATTCTTCCATTTTGTTTTTGCGTCAGAATGAAATGTTCTAGTGCACAAATACGATATGTTCATGACTTCAAAACAAAGAGAAAATAACTTCTATCTGAGTTAATAGACTTAGTTTAAAATATCTCTGCATATCAAATACAGACTATTTTAATGCCATACCAAAAATTAATACTGATACCAATAAACTTAATAACATAGAATAACTTTTAGCTACTTAGTTTGATTATATTAATTTAATTAACATTTGCCACTGGAATTAAATTATGATGAATGAAAAATTTAGTTAAAAAAAATTAATCAAATAAGAAAATAATCGAATGTGTAGGACAAAGTAACTTATCATTAGTAGAAACTAAATTTTTCAAGCAAAAAAAAAAGCATGAATCTTTAATGAATTTAAAAAAATGAAATCGTAATACTTTAGCTTTCTACGAGACGTGATTTCCTTCCTGCTGAATATGGGCGTGGTGGTACAGAACGAAGAAGGAACGAATTTACCACTACAACTAGGTCACGTGAAACTAATTATTACTAAGAACATTCATCCCACGCCATTAGTACGTTATCTGACCGTACAATAATGGTAGATAGATATCACCTTATTTCTTAAAATTGCACGAAAAACACCATCTTGAGAAGTACATTTGATATAGCGATCATGATTCGGTCATTTACCTTTTTACTCACAAAAAATAGTTCCAAAATTGTATTTTAATACTGTCTAAAGTCTGTTCAAAATCGAACCATAATATTAATTGAAAATAGTTTTTTGTTTTCTTCTACTCTTCGGGAAATGATAGACGACGATTAAGAAAGAAATTCATTTTTGAAGAAAGGAAAAAACTTACTAATCTGTCTAATCTCACATGAACTGATTAATCTTCACAACACTGCCAGTTCCATCAAGCTTTCAACTTGTTCTCGTTTCTGATTTAATAAGCTCAAGATCGATGGGAACAGAAAAATTGGTTGCGCCACATTTTCTCTACTCATTTTTTGAATTTCTTTAAGAGAAAATGTTTTCTTCCATATTTCAATTTCATTGTAAATGTTTAAAGCATTTTTGTGGATTTCACTTGTCGTCTTGCCTTCGTTTCAGTTTCCATTTGAATAGCTGCCAGAAAAATAACACTCCATTTAATGCCTTAATTTTATATCTACTCTCAGAAAGTAAATTACTCGTTGTCGAGAAGATTCACACAGCTGCTGTTTAGCTAAAGAAATCAAATAACTTTCTATTCAGATAGAAATGTCAAATAAATTTTCGGAAGCGAAGAAATTTCATTCTCTCAATTTTTTCCCTTTTTCTATGCAAATTTAGAAAACATAAATTCAGCATTGTAGTAAAATGCTCGCTATGCAATATTGATATTCAGTTGTTTGATCAAAACTCTTTCAAAAGTTTTGCTACTATGTAACTACTTATTTTGAGTAGCTAAAACAGCGATCTTCAAATACATTCTAGCAGTGATTTTTTTCAATGACAACGGATAAAAACCATAACTTAAGGGCTACATGTATTTGTTTATGAATAACACTTTGCAAAAAAATTTAGTAATTTACCAACTGAGCAATAAAGATGTTGAGTTATACTGTATGATATTTATCGGTGCTATTTTGCAAAACTGCCATATTTATTGATAAAAAATACTAAAAATAAAGGCATATTTGTGTGATTGCCATAGTCCATAATTCTTTGCTTTATTTTGCGCTGGAAATAAATCGCCATTAACCTGATGAAGTTTTTCTGGTAATTTTTAAATTCCAAAAATTGTTGAAAAATGTCAGTGGGAAAATATAATTCGATCTTTAAATTTAAAAAAAAACAAATAAACAAATTAGTTTTGAAGATGCAAATGGATCAAAAACAGACTGGAAAATGCTCAAATACAAAAAACTCTATAAGAATTTACTAATTTGTCGCTCTTATAACAGCGTCATCATTTAAAGGTGGCTTAATGTTAGGAACATCCCGCAAACACTCTCATATTATAAAATACTGCCAGAGATCTTCATTAACTATCCAGAAATTTTTAAAGTATTTAAAGACTAAATCAATAAAATGAATTCCATCTATCGACGACTGCCTTTTTATTTTTTGTAGGCTTTCTATACTGTAAGAATTTTCTTCCATTGAAAGGAGACACAAATTTTTAGCGATTCAAGGAGATCAAAATCTTAGCCAACTATGTAATCAAACAATAATCACGGTTTTCAATGGAAAGAAGAACATTTCCATCTTTTCTTAAAACCATCATTATCAAAAACTGTTAGCCCTTTGTTGCTGTTAATTCAGCATTCCGGTCTACCAATATCTGAATGCAAAAAAAAATGAATCAGCTAATTACTGAGAAGAGATATTATTCTTAGTACATGGATTTATCAAGTAAAACTGATACAGTCATTGGTGCAAATGAACAGACAAAAATAACTGAATGGTCTAATAGTAGTAGCATGGGTGTCACAGACTGGAAATGCCACGGTGACAGATACTAATATGTGGGCATATCATTTTACTGTAGAAAAAATTTGAAATTAAAATCAAACGGAATTTATCAGAAGGTAATATTTGTTACATTTTTTGTACTGCTATAAATCCCTTCAAATGAAATGTATGACCTAAAAGGTTTGATTTATTGCGAGGGAAAAAAGGATAACTATTAAAAATCCAAAATAAAGGAACAACATTTTCATCATTTCCAATAAATAGCAAATTAGTGCAAACGGTCTTTACACGTGTACAAGAAATAATAACGGTACCACGAAGATTCCAATTTTTAAGCTGATCCAATACATACAATAAGACTATTCATATCAATTAAGGTCAAATAACAAAAGCTTCCATGCACGAAAGTTTGCAGCCAATTTTGAATAAACTAAATCCAATTGTTACTTCCTTTTGCTCATTTATGATTTTGTGATTTCAAACTTACGCAAAATGCACAATCGGATGAAACTTTTTCAAACAAAAGAGTTTACTTGTTTGACTTTTTTCCAAGATTTATTACAGTTAAAATGAAAATGAGCCATAGAACAATGATCTTTTTTTTTAGTCATTATTCATCAAACTGATCTCATCAGATTAATATCTCCATTGCTTTTAAAACCTATCACTTACAGAGCTCGCCAAAAACTTAATTTTGTCATTTCAGATAATGAATTTAGGATGTGATAAAATTAATGTGGCTGAAAACTGTTCATGCGATGTTGCTACTCAAAAAAATTTTGAGTACCAAGTAAGTACCTCAGTTGTATGCTCCAATACACTGCCTCAGTCATTTTTTTTCACTTCTCAGTTTTTAACTTTAAGACTTGAAAATAAGGCACATAACTGAAAATTCAGAAATAAATCATTACTACCTGGTCGGCTCTACTAAAAAAGGATAAGCATCAGTATGGAGATAGCGCTGGACATTCGAGATAGCATCGTCATACCATCATTTTCCGTGTTACTGTCTCCACGGAAAATTATTCTGGTGATCACTCTGATTCCAGAAGAAATGCTTCTGATGATCTCACAGGCCATTCCAATCCTCTTCCTACTAGCTCTTACCGCTAAAAGTAGCAGTGGCATACAAGCAACAATAGCTCTGCCACTGTTTTCCCCGCTGCAAAGATTTTCCAAAAGTATTTTCCGCGTGGGAACTGTCAAGTGAGTTTAGATTTGGGACAGAAGTCTTGCTCGAATATTAACATATGTTAGCCGGCTTGACAAGGGAGAAGCAGCAAAAATAGAGGAAAATGAAATATTTGTAATTGCATGGAGATAAGTAATAAGAGCTCATT